TTTTTTTTTTTTAAGTACAACGTTTAAAACCGTTTCAGTGATTAATTACATGGTTATTATTAGTTCTGATTTTAGATGATCTTTACTCAGGGGCACCCAACGACTGTTTTCTGTGAAATATCTGTTTGGAGAAGCAGATGTTGCCTAGAATTTTCTGTCACTTGAGGACGGCTAAAAATTTCTAGATGACCGTTCCATTCGTGTACAATTTTCCCTACGATTTTCTAAAGTTTTTTTTTTTCACATTTAATTCCTCAGGTTAGGTTATTTGTCGCAGAAAAAAGGAAACCTAACATTTTCGGATTCAAAAGTGTGATGGAGAGGAGAATTAGCAAAATTCTCACTTTCGTAATAGTTAAACTGCATCTAAAATTTTCGGGAAAATAATACTGAAGCCCTCGTGATTTGGAAAAGATTCAAGTTCCCCTAGGATGACCGAACAGATACAAATTTCATAGCGCCGCTTAGAATGCATTTCTACAGATCTAAAGTTACTCTGGATAGCCTAAAACGTTTTTTCAATGTATTTAGGAGGAACCGTCGTTGGGTGCCCCTGTTTACTCTGTGACAGCAGGTCGTAAAGGAAAGAGAACATCAGAGAAAAAAAAATTGTTTGAAATAAATTTGAACTGTTACTTGTCACAGTTCTGTTTCGTCGATCAAGGAGTCTCTTGAAAAGCTAAGTAGGCTAGATCTTATTCAGAATTGGAGTTAACAAGTTGTGTTTGAATGTCTTTGAAGGATTTTTTTTTCGTGACGGCAATCAAACCAGTGTCAAACCGGCTGGCTTTGCCAATTTGTGTTTAATAAAACGTCGTGATGGTTTATTAATGCATATATTCTTAACTCTTTTGAACTTTTACCAATTTTAACCACTCGTTGATAGGTCATTTAATTACTTACCAAATCGTTTTATTCCGTGAAAAGAAATCCCCGCTTGAAATGGTGCCATACTGTAACTTTAAAACATTTTTAGTCCTTCCAAAATCACCATACGACAGTCCTTGAGAATATAATCCGCAACGCGTACAATTTGTTTTTGTTACGTTAAATGTAATTCTCAAAGTTACTTGGTAACTTTGGGTCAAATGAAAGAATTTAATTGACCCGTGGTCTAAATAAATAAACA